ACACACACACACACACACACACACACACACACACACACACACACACACACACACACACACACACCCGCGCGCGTGACAAACACTGACTTTAAACATGAAGGTTTATTACATCCACACTGGCGAGGTGGGTGCGCCCTGCGCGTGTATCCAAAGCGTGACTTTTGCTGTCCTCCTGTTCTTGTCGTGGAGGGGTCTGTGGGTCAGGGAGGGGTCTGTGGGTCAGGGAGGGGTCTGTGGGTCAGGGTCGCCTGAGGAGGAAGCAGATGAAGGGATTTGTGCACGGGAACTTTTATTTAAGATTTAAGTTTTTTTTTATTTCAAAGGTCCTCATGGCTCAGCAGCAGCAGCAGAAGCATAAATATTACTGTTAAGAAAGCTGATGATAAAGTTGAATAAAAATCTAAGTCTGATGAAGGTAAATTAAATATCTGACAGTGATCATTACACAGTGTGACTCTAATTCCTCACTTCACCATCTGTGTCGCAGTTTCCCGTCTCCAAAAAGAGCATACGCATGGGTCAGAGCTGGTGTGAGGCACCGCATATTTTCACGTCAAGTTTGGATTTTATAAATCAAAACCTTGGTGTAAAAAGTGGCGTATGCAAGTTTCTGGGCTCAAATTGTGCGTACGCCAGTTTTATAAATCCGACCCCTTTTGGGTTTCTGGCCTAAGTGAAGGGAAAAGAAAATAAACTTTATTGTGTCTGATTTAAGGATGCCACACTGGAATTGTGACTCAGAGGGAGTTTAAACTTCTACAAAACCAAATGACGGCAAAAAAACGCATCACTGTCTTTATTCCCTTTTCTCTCCTGATGAAAGAGAAAACAGCAGTAAACTTAGCTTATAAACAGTGGACTGATCGAGGCTCAGTTCTAGTCAAAGTCTGCAAAATCCCGTGAACAAACAACAAATTCAAATCAGTTTTCATCTGCAGTCTCATTTCATACATGACTTGCAAATCTGCCAAAAGGAAAACAGGCAGAAGAATTTATTTGAAACGTTTTAGGAGGGATTCTATCTAAATCACCAACAAATCATAGTTTAGTGTCTTTGCATTGTAAAGAAGTAAAACTTGCTCTGCTCACAGACAGACAGCTTCACTGCTCTCTGATCCCAAATCAGATAAGTGTCACCGTGCATCGGGCTGAAAATCCATACTTATAGGAGTTATTTTAGTGACAACAGGACCCTTTGTTTCTCTGGAATAACTATGCAGCTCTGACAACAGAGGCCTGTTCCAGGCTGTATTAGCATGTAGCGCTACACCCTGTTAGTACAGTGTGGACATTGTGTTGGTGGGAGGAATGCACTGGATGTCCTCTGCTGTGGGAGCTGGACAGTTTAACAGATTGCTATCAAAGTGAACATTTCAGGAGTGACATTATTTTCTTTTTCAATGACACTGAGACCACTTAACATTCTCATTTATGTTACAGTGACTTTTAGTCCAGATGACCTTGGTTCCATCATATGAAGTAAAGCATGTTGAGCAGATTGCTGCTCAGTCTGGTGTCATTTTTCAAGCTTGCTCTTATAAGAAGAAAGGGTTTACCTTGTGTTTGTGAGAGAATCAAGTTTTCCCAGTGAGTTTTATAGGATTATAATTACACCTGCTGCAAAATCATTTAAATGTGTGTAAAGATTGCAGTTTTTCTTACTTATTTTACAGTTTAGCTTATAAATGTATTGAAAGTGTGAAATACTAGCTCTGCTGGTGTGCACTGAAGCAGGAAGGGCCTGGTTCTGTGAAAAGGGCCCATTGTGCTGCTCTAGTTTGTGCCATGCGGGCCAGAGCCCCTCCATGACCCCTGTTGTTTCTGCGCAGGCCTGGTCACAGCAGATGCCAACCTGAACAATGGCTGCGTCTCGGAGAAGCCGGCGGTGACTGACTCCGAGGGCCCCCACCAGCTCTGGACCTCCGCCAGCACAGCTGACCCTGATGCCGCCACGCCACGCCCCCACCTGGCCCGCCTCTTCTCCCGAGATGCCCCGGGCCGAGAGGACAACACCTTCAAAGAGCGACCCTCCGAGTCGGACGAGCTGCAGACCATCCAGGAGCACAGCGGAGCGGCTTCAGAGTGCGGGTCGGAGAGCCCCGAGCAGGACTTAGAATAGGCTGACTTTTTTTCCCTTCCCTTTCCTCTCTTTTTTCTTTTTCCTTCTTTGAGCTTTGCTCTCTCTCATTTAAGGGAGAGACATAACACCCCACTTTTGACAAGTACAAATATACAACCACTTACTCCTCCAAGCATGGCATCTGCAAGCAGCTCTGCTCAGGCTGCCTTCGGACTGGGCCGCAAAAAGAAGAACCCTGGGCTCTTGGATCAGATTGGGAAGTTCTTTGGAGGGGACAAGAAAAGGAAGGGCAAGGTGAGGAGTGTTGAGATTTAAAAAAAAAAACTTTGACCCCTCTCGTGTCACTTAACCCTGCTGATCCCCCCTCAGAACCACTAACACAAACTGTAAGACTGCTTTGAGTTTGTTTTGTAAACTTGGTTTTCCTTGTTTTTATGGTCTGCTGTCAGGTGATTCCTGTTAAATATCATGATTGGAGAACGACTTGTCAGTGGGGGTTTGATTTCTTTTTTCTTATAAAAACAGTTGTGATTTTGAACAATTTAAAGATAAGTATCCTTGTTTTATTTGAACGGTACTGACATTAGTAGCATTTCCTCATCAGTGATATTTTACCATGTGATTTATTGCTGTTTGTTTATGAGAACGGTTGTCAAACTGGAGAACAGCTGTGTTTCACTTCAGGTACTTCACCTCCTGCTGATCTTTAAGCTTCGAACTGATCATTAGGATGTGATTCATGCAGATTATAGTTGAATTTGCTGGGATGTCTGCAGACCTTCATGCAGCTTCTGCATGTCTTTGGTGTTTAACGGTCTGTTTAAGGCCCCGTCTACACCACACTGGATAGTTTCACTGGAAAAACTGAGACGTTCTGCTGGTATTTCACTAAATTACATGCCCATGAAAAAACAAAACAACACAGACGATTTTACCAGATAAATATATTACAGTATGTCCATCTCATGTTTACTGATCTCACCAGTAAACTGTAAAGGTTTGTGCTGAAATGGTTAATAACTGAGTGGGAATTGTGAACGGTGTTGAAAAGAAAATATTTTTAGGGATAATCTTTAGCAAAGAATGTTTAGTTCTGCACGTCAGGATTTCAGCAGTTTGCTTTGAATAGTTGAGACATAGAAATGACAAACAGGAAATACTGTATCCGATTAAGAAATAATGTTATATAAAAACAGTCTCAATTTTCTGTAAATATTAGATTTTTTAAAAATATTCTTTGAGTATTTTTTCAAAATGGTTGTGTCCACACAGTGGGGTCTTACAGTGAAGTCAAGTTTACCCACCCAGTGTAGCTGAAGAACCCCCTGATGAAACAGATGCTACAGCTGTACGTGCTGCTGCTACTGCTGAGCCTGTTAGCCAGAGATCGTTATATGTCTTCATTTCTCTGGTGCAAGGGATCCAAATAGAGGCCCGTTATTATTTGTCAGTAAAGCTGAGCTTACACCCATCACCATAGTTTTCCTTTTTAATCCTCTCAAAATAAAACTACGACAGTAACTGATGCTGGGAAACCTCCCATTTAGTTTTTGGTTGGTTGTGTTTTTGGGGAGGGGGTGGTGGGTGTTGCATTGAAAAAATAAAACAACTGGAAATCAAATCGTACTGAAAGCAGAGCAGTGTAGACGGGGCCTGGGTCACACAGCTGGTTACTGAAAACCAGTCACTTTTAAAGTTAACGTGTTATAAATGATCAGAGAATTATATTAATAATATATTGTATAAAATGTTTTAGAATAAGAGATTTGAATCATTTTCAATCAAGAAAAAAGTTTATTCAAAAAATATGAAAGGCTTGTATGTTGCAGACAGAATTTTGTCATTTATTCATTCCTAAATACTTTTTACTGTAGCATTTACAAGTTAGCAGCTAGTAGAGCATTACTAACCTGTCTTTAGACAGACTTGATCAGAAAAAAAGAAAAATCCCTTCTAGCTTTGCTTTGGTTGTTTGTATCCCTGACACCAGACATGATAGTCAGTTTGTGTCACGACTAAAGACAGCTCAGCCCTGCTGCTTCTGTTCCCTGCCCTCTCCTGGGCAGGGTGCTCCGCAGCGCCCCCTGGGGGTGGCTGTGTGCAGCGTGCTTTAAACAAAATGCTCTTTCTTCTTAGAACTTTCCTTCCATGTTTAGCTCAGCAGAGAGCTAATCAGGGTGTTTTTAATACAATTGACGGAGAACTCGGCAAACGTCGTGAAAATATGCATTCCTCCCATGCCTTAAGCCAAGTATAGAGCGATGTTTAGAGCAGGAATAAAGATAAAAATGGTTTTATATTCATGCAACATATCAATGCTTTAGCCTGTTCTGCTGATCAGATACTATTTCACTCAAATATTCAGGGAAAAGGTCAACAGAACAATGGATTTATGAATTGGCCACCATATTTGTCGAATTCTCTGGCTTTTGCATGTCAGTCTCCTTATTCAAAAAAATAAAAAAATAATAATAAAAACTTGTACACGTAGGTAGATAGATTGCTGGCGCTGTTTTCACCAAGGATTTGCCTTCAAACAATCACTTCCTAAATCTCAAATAAAGGAAAGACAGGTCACCCCACCTCTGTTGCCTCTAGAAAATAAAATAAAAAACTGCACTGTCTTTCTGCTGCAAATATTTACTTCTCAAATAAGATTTTGTGGGAATGACAGACGTTTTATTTATCTTGCCTGCCGTCGGTGTGCACGCACGTTCCACAGATGTTTTGAACTCAGTCTTGGACTCAGACTGCAGTATTAGACAGGTCGTGATGGTGTTTGGTCGTTAGATAATGAACATGCATGTTTTATTCTGGTGATATTTAATTGTTGCTTTCTTGGCAGGCATGGGGAAATTTGTGCATCCCCTTCTTGTGCTTTTTTATGTTTTTAGCCATTTTAATCCCCCCAGCTCAACGTGAAAGCAGATGTTTGGTGAGATGTGAGATGACGATGTAAATAAGACAAATCCCGGTCTCAGGGTGCCAAAGTGTTGGTAGAAAGTCTTCAGTGAAATGCAAATGAGTTTGTGATCATTTCAAGTCACAGGGATAATGATGTGCTAATTGGAAAGAAAATTAAGTTTGCATAAACAGTAGCTATTCAAGCGGAAATAAAGACTGAGAGATAAGAGAATCTATTTTATAATGTCAGAGCTTCATTTGTTAAACGGTACACAGTATCAGTGATAAGTGTCCAAACTCTGTCATACCCCAGTGTCTTGGAATGAGGGAGGTAAGGTTGGACGCCACCTCTCTCACCTCAGGTTCACGTGTTTGATCCAGTCTGTGAGTTTGTTGGATCAGTGATAGTTCAAACTGTTTGTATGTAATGTGATCCTTGATCTGATCCTGTTCCTTAAAACTTTTTGGATTATTGCTTGATTAAAGGTCTTTAACAACAACCCTCAACACTTTCATTGTTTTCTTTTTGCTTTGAGCTTCATGTCTCCAGGCACATTTAACATCTTTAACAGCCGCTCTAAAACCAAACATAATGCAAAGGACGATTTCTGTTTGCTGTCGAAAATGAACTTAAAGAAAGTTTGATGTATTCCACAGTTCATTCCCTCTCATAAATACTGCAAAGCAAAAGGAGTTATCAAGAAAGGCGTGATGGAAAGCAGAGCTACTGTTTATCTCCACTCTGATAGAGCTGAGTTATGGATGACTGCCTCAGCTTGTTTATGTGTGCCCAAAGATGAAATTGCCAGGAAATAGATGAAAGTGTTTGTAGTCTGCCTGCCAAAAGAGGGCAGGATTCTGTGTTCAGATTGCTCCTGTTTTCTGGAGAAACGTAAAGTGAAATAACTTGACGTGGACTCGGATCAGAAGGAGATTTTTCAGTTTAGAGTCATAAAATGACATTTTGTTGTGTTAACATGAACACCTTCATGTTGAAGAGTTTCCATCAAACATTGGATCATTTAACATGATGCTAAATTCTGTTCACAATTAGATTTATTTCATGTTTTGGTTGCACCAAGAAATAACGAAATACCTAAATGCTAATAGGTTAATTAGGATGTCAACTTATTCTACAGAATGGAGACTTACATATATAGCATTAAAAACAGGGAACATGTCAGTCATTACCATGAATTATTACCAGTAATTTAGCAGAAGTGAAAAAGTGCAAGCTTTCATTAACAAGTGGCTCTGACTTCCTCCAGCCGTCGCAGCAACATGTTTTTATGACACAGCAAATGTTAAATGCTGTTTTGGCTGCTTCCTTCTTGTGCGAGTGAACTCCTATGAATGATTTGGAAATTGTTTTGAGCTGGATGTCCTTCCTGACGCAACATGAGCTCAAAGCTGTAGCTTCAAGATAATAAGAGTGCAGCCCCAAAGATATGTTACACATAATGTTAAATACACTTTACCTGTCACCTCATCAATGTTTAACTGGAGCTGAAAAATAAATATCCCTGAATTGTTCAGCGTACAGGCTCATCTTAGTGCAATATTCTGTGGTGTCTACAGAGCCAGTGTGATTCAGAGCAAAGTTTCTGCATCTTCAACTGCATTACCTGTTTTACACATCAGATTAATTTGTATGGTTATTTTCTCTGTCTTGTCCAGAAGTACAGCTCAGAATATACTGCAGGATTCTGAACAGATTTCTGTCAAATTTAAACATCAAACACAATTTCACAGCATGTTCAGTGAAAAGTAGGTGAAGTAAGTACGAAGTGTGAAGGTGTGTTTTAGAAGCTGTGAAGTTGTCTAATTCTTGCTCACTGTGTCCTTTAACCCTGGTGAAGATGCTGCTGATCATAAAACAGAACAAGTTATGTCCTGTTTTTTTCACACTGTAAGTCTCAGATATTCACTCTACAGACATAAAGCTGTAAGGAAAGATTCAAAGTGTCATGTTCCACAAATGACTGATATGCATAATAATAATAATAACAAAATAATAATAAAATAATAATAATAATAATAATAATAATAATAATAATAATAATATAACAGTTTTAAGCACCAAAGTTTCTCCTCTTCACTTCCATTTTGTCTCCACTATCTATGCTAAAAGTAGAACTGAGCAACATGTTAATAGTTCCTCTGAACTTTCATCATTAATACATTTTAATAGCTCTGCTGATATTATACACTTGTATTTGTTCTGAGTTTTAAACCTAACCACAGGCTAGTAGTTGTACTGTGATTTTGTTAATAATACTGACCTGTTACAACAAGCTAGCAATAGCACTGAGCTTATTAACACAAGTTATTCTTAGGTTTTATTTCTGAATTAGTGTGCAGACACTGGATCACAATGTGAGGCAAATACAAATAAAAGAATACTGAATTACAGTGTGTTGTACCAGGAAACACAGACAATTCAGAAAACTTACTATTGCCTGTATGATATGATTGTTCTGAGTCGTATAAAGGACTAATAGCTCTGCTGACCTTTTACTTCCAGCAACATGCTAGTAGCTGTTCAAAGAAAAAAAAAATGAAATTCTGTCTGTAATGGAAAAATAGTTTTAGTTTTAAGCCAGTAATTCATGATATAAAAAAGAAAAAATTGTATAGGTCTTCTGGACGGGTTCTTCTCTAATGAAACGTTTCGTCTCTCCTCCAAGAGACTTCTTCAGTCTGAGAGTTTCAGGCAAAATCCAGGCTTTTAAGCCCTGCCTCCATGTGACTGATACTCACATCATGGCTATCGTTGACACCTAATTAACACTTATTGTTAACAGGGGTGGAGTGATACTGCAATGGCCGCGCTGTAGGAGGGGGACAACTGAAAATGGAGGTCTCACCTCTGTTTAATGATGGACGGTCTTTCTTCACAAAATGGCTTCTTTTACTCCTCTCTCAAACCAACGTTCAGCGCGTACAGCGCGGCTATTGCCAGTATCACTCCACCCCCTGTTAACAATAAGTGTTAATTAGGTGTCAACAATAGCCATGTGATGTGAGTATCAGTCACATGGAGGCAGCGCTTAAAAGCCTGAATTTTGCCTGAAACTCTCAGACTGAAGAAGTCTCTTGGAGAAGAGACGAAACGTTTCATTAGAGAAGAACCAGTCCAGAAGACCTATACAATTTTTTTCTTTTTGATTTTTTTACCTGGATTACTGAGATGCATCAGGACAAATTCATGATATACTTTAATGCATTATTTATAGGAGGCCTTCTAGGGGTTAGCAGCCTGATGGCCTTTGTGCTAACATCAGTGTTCTTGTATTTAGCAATAAACAAACAGACCATTCTATCAACTACCTTTATTATTTGAATCACGTATTTCCACAGCGCTGTCAGATTCTGACCATTTATCTGCACATATCTGTTAAGATTTAAACATAAATAAATGAAAACATTTATTAAAGATGTCCAGTTTAGTTAGCATGAATGTTTTGTGACAGAAGAAGTAGAAGGAACTCAGTTTCAGTAAAATGTCTGTATCCACTGCAAACCCTGAGCAGATATGTCGACTGAAATGGACTAAAATAAGCTTTGTCCTGTCTGCACCAGTTGTGTGTATGCCAGAAAACATATTACTAATCAGATATTGGGCACTTCCAACACTCTAATAGTAGAAAAAATGACATGCACCCAACCTTCGCCATTGCTACAATATTGCAAAGCAAGAAAGACTTTTTTTTTTACCAAACATCAGCTAGAAGCCTGATTTATTTAGCATCACATTGCACTCTCTTCTCTCTGATGGAAAACTAAAACAAAGAGGAAAAACAGAGTAAAGTGTTCTTCATTTCAAATGTGTTACTGGCTGAAAGTGAGGCTCCATTAGGACAATTCCTTAAGAATTATTTGATCCTCTGTTGTCTGTACCATCTGCTCCTTTCACATCTATTTTCCTCTAAAACAAAGGGCTGCTGAGGCAGTTCTGTTTTCTCACAATGCTTTCCTCCATTTCCTAACATTTTGTACATCTGCAGAGATTCTGTAAAAACACAGAGACAGAGACACATCCAGAAGACATCATTAGAAACTTTCACTTGCTTTTGGTAATTTAAAACACAGGTGAAATAGTTGTAATATGGGAGTATGATTTTTGTTTTATAATGTATTTGGTCTCTTGCCTGTGGATCAGACCAGGTTGCACCATATGTGCTAAGTTCTGTAGTCGTGAAAGTTTTCTCCTGAAGTCCTTTGATGTGAAGCATGGAGAGGTAATGGATGAGATACACATACTCTGCGTGTGCAAGACTCAGGACATTTACTCACCTTTACCTGAAACCAACACTGCATCATATCTGAAGACCAAATGTTCCCATGTGGAGAACATTACATTCTGCAGTAAAGAGATGCAAGTCTCTCTAACATCATAACGCCTGGGCTACACTAACACACATTCATGTTTTGTTGCTCCTAAAAAGTTCTCAGACAGAAATATTTAATGCAAAACTAAAAACACTGAATGAAGTCAGGAGATGAAAATGTAAGTTGTGGATATGAGAGCTTTTATACTTTCTGTTTCAGTGCTCTTTACATAAGTTAACAGATGATTTTCTGTTTCATTTTCTAGTTTTTCTTCAGGCTTAAAAAACAGAAAATATAAAGGCCATAAACCCCTCGCCCCATTAAAGCCTGTGTAAAGTTGGACTTTGAAGCACTTATTTTGTGCTTCATGATAATTGGAATTTTTGTCTCAGTCAGCCCATCAACAGGAAAGTAGTCTGTTTCAAATGTTCATTTCTACCATTTTCATTCATAGTTAATGATATCCGGACAAATATTTTTGAGGTTACTTTGAATTAAAATGATTCTGCTGTTATTCTTTCTCATTGAATGAATGAATATTTTCTGTGTTTGGAGCTGCTGTAGCCCAGTCTGACTTTGGCCACCAGCTCCCTGTGTTATCATCTTATTAAAAGAAATTTATCTTGTTTTTCCTCTTCTAGCCCTGACCAGAAAATACCCAAACTGAGTATCCAAACTTAATGAGCAGTACCCTGAGTGACAGTCTAAGTCTGATTCTGACCAATTTTTTGTTTGCTAGATCTGACCAAATAGCAACAGTGAACAAGGTGGATATAAAGCAAAGCAGAAATCTAAACAAATGTCTCATTTGAATAAATCATGTCCATAAGAGTGTTCTGAGAAGCTGCTGCTGCCATCAGGCTGTCCGCCTCCAGAGTCAGAGCTTCTTCTTGTACTTAGAGTTCAATTCAATTCATTTATATTGTAGCAATTCGCAATAAATGTTGTTTGAGGTTTAGTGAACCTTCACTCATGAGGATTCACTTACACTTCTTATAACAAAAGTTATGAGGAAATTCACAGGTTCTTCTGTTTAAGGAAAAACAACCCCTCTGTGTAAATATGAGACCACACAATAAGTGAACGTGAGACAGTGACTTCAGTTGATCTAATAATAAACTAGATAATTTATTTACAGAATCAAATAAATCACTAATAGCTTATTGTAGACAATCAAATTTCCTATAAAAATTTTAACAACAAACTTTTAGGTTTAGATGTTAATAAAAGATTTGTTTGCGGCACTTTTTCTTGGGTTTTGGCAGGGCATTAAGAGAAAAGAAAGCAGGACAATGAAAGAAAGAGGATCAGTTAGTTTTAACTTTATCCTTTGAAGAATGTGGCTTTTTTTAAACAGAAATGGCGGACATCTCTCAACGAATTCACCCAGACCTCAGGTACGCTCAGTAAGGGTCAGCCTTTACCTTGGACCTTGGTTCAAGCCAGGGAAGATCGTCCAGTTGGGTTGAAGAACTCTCAGATCCTCATCCAGCTGGACACTTCTAGGTGTGTTGTGCACTTCAGCGTCTCCTGGGTTGCTGTAAATCGAAGATCAGAGACGAGGCACTTCTCTGAATCCTTCTCAAAAATAGAATACTTCCGCCATGGAAGTTTCAAAACAAAAGTTGCTCTGTGTGTGGCTTTTGATAAGCTCAGATAATGGACAAGACCGAGAACTGGTCTGTCCAGACTGAGAGGTTCTCCCTTTGAGTCAATTGGACAAACCTCACAGCCAAACGCTGGTCCTCTTTCTCTGGAGGAAAACAGCTGCGTCCTCGTGAAGCACGAGTGCGTTCCCTCAACAACTAACTGTCTGGTGTTAGTTCAGAGATGTTAGTTTAAAAATATAGGAAGTGTTATTGAAGGACTGTCGGGTGTTGTTTGTCTTAAACAACATGGTTGACGTCTACGCGTCGTACAGCTCGTTCTGACCTGCTCTCTGCTGAGAGCACTTTAAAGAACACTTAAATAATGATTTACTGAAAACTTAAAAATCAATAATTTCATATAAAAACATTCATTATGATGATTCAGTCAAAAATAATTATAAAATGTTTCATAATAAAGCTTAACGCTGAGTTTAGTTAAGTAAAATATTTCAACTTAAAAATCTACAATCAACTACTGTGGTTTCACAGTTAAAGTTCAAGCAGTGATTTACATCAAAGCACAATAAAACGTTATAACGTTTTTTGTTGTATTTTTTATACATTGATAAAATTATGAATAATTGATTATTCTGTTTATAATCTGATTAATAAGGAGAAAATGTCTCGAAAACCTGTTATGACTTTAACTCGAACAGAGTTCCATCTCTTCGAAGGAGGTCTTCTGAGACCTAGGTGGAACTGTTTATTCCACCTCAAGGTGACCACTACACAGGGCACTGTACAAAAAAACTAATACAAGCTGCAGTTGAGTAAAAGTCATCTGAGGGAAGCAAGCAGTTTGCATCAGATCTTCACTTCATCATAACCTCCAACATCCTGAGCGAGAACATCGGTGACAGTGGAGAGAAAAAACTCACTTATAACAGGAAGAAACCTCCAGCAGAACCAGGCTTCAGGACAGGCACTAATCTGCCTCGACCAGCTGGGGAAAGAGAGGACAGGAAAATAATACAAACACAGGGGGATTGGTCCAGGTGTATTTTCTATGGGAGATAGACAAAAACACACATTAATGACAGAAACAATAGGAAATTCAGACATGAACAAAAGAGTGACTAAAGACAGCAGCAGAGTGAGGAAATGTGATCAGTTTGTGCTCCAGCAGTCTAAGCCCATAGCAGCAGAACTAAGGAATACCTCAGAAAACCTGTCTAACCACAGGATTTGTCAAAAAGGAAAGTCTTCAGTCTAATCTTAAAAGTAGACAGAGTGTCAGCCTCACAGACAGAAACTGGAAGTTGGTTCCACAAGAGTGTAATGATTGGTGAGATGAGTTTCACTGACTTGCCAGACACCAGAATAGTTTTAATATTTTTATTAAAATATAAACAGCTGGATCGGGAGACAAACGTCACAGGAATCAGGAGTTCTACACAAGAGAGAATTAGGTTAGTGGCTAGAATGTTCACAAGAACAGATTTAGAAGAAGATTTAGCCACTAACCTTTTTAGAGTACAGGAAGTACCAACAGTACTCTTGAAAGAGAGTCTTGGGTGAAGTCCGGTGGAAGCACTTCCGGGTTGCGGGGCTTGAGTGAGTTTACGAACTCGGGGTT